TCTTATCTTCCAGTCTCCCACAGAACACGCCATTGAGCGCTTAACACTTAATGTCTTTTCTAGCCCAGAATTTCAAAGTCCTTCTATAATCCTTCCCCAAATGTGGTCATGTCTGTCACAGCAATATCTCACTTCTGGTACCAACTTCTGTCTTAATTAGGTTTTATTGCTATGAAGAGACACTATGACCATAGAAACTCTTATAAAGGGGAACATTTACTTGAGGCTGCCCCATTGTTCACAGGTTTAGTTCCTTATTGTCATAGTGAGAATTATGGTAGCATGCAGGCAGACAAGCTGCTTGAGAGGTATCTGTGAGTACTACATATGGATATGCAGGCAGCAGGAAGAGACAGTGAACCATTAGGCTTGGCTTAAGTTTCAGAAACCTCAAAGACTATCCCACAGAGACACAGTACCTCCAAAAAAGCCAAACCTACTCCAACAAGGACATACTTTCAATAATACCACTCCCTGGGAGTCTATGGTGTCCATTTCATTCAGCTTGAGCTTCTGAAACCCCAAAGCCCATCCTCAGTGACACAGTTCCTCCAACAAGGCGACACCTACTTGAACAAGGCCACACCTCCAATAATACCACTCTCTGTGAGTCTATGGGTATTATCATTTCTTTCAGATCACTATAATAGTTAAGTCCCATTAAAAATAAACTACCTTATATATTATTCCAAGTTTCACTGCCTCATTGTATTTTACAGAAGTAACCTTTAAAATACCTGATGCCTATTTTAATAATTAAATGTTTCTAAGCGATAAATTTATCCCAAGTACAAAAGTTTGGGACACAAAAGTTCAAGAGTCTTCACTAAAATAGAAAATGGCATTGAATGTACATTTGGAAATTAAAACATGATAAAATAAACTTCACAGTTGTCATCTAAAATTAACACAAATGATATAATGGAGATCATTTGCATACTGGTCTTATAATAATACCATCCCCTTTTTAAGGATGTTAAATTCTGACTGACTGATGAGAACTTCTTGATTACAGACAGTTGGGGTATTGCAAATTTGGACACAAACTATATTAGGTTATCTTTTGTCCCTTAGTAGCTGTTCATTTCCTATCTCTATGTCTGTGGAAACACACTTGTGACTGTTAGGTAAATTGTTTTAGAATGTAGTAACACACCATTAGCTGCCACCAATTCAAAATCTAAGAATGCCATCAAGTAGAGTTTGAAATCTTAAGCAGAGTTTTGTGCACTTTGCTGTAACATACTTACCAGATATTTCCACCAGCATGGTCTAAATGTACCTTGATTTGTGACCCTTTGTTGTTCTGTGTCTCAGTTAGGGTTTCTATTGATGAGATGAAACATCATGACCAAAAAGCAAGTTTTGGAGGAAAGGGTTTATTCAGATTACACTACTATGGTGCTGTTCATTACCAAAGAAAGTCAGACAGGAACTCAAGCAGGGTAGGAACTTAGAGGCCAGATCTGACACAGAGACCATGGACGTGTGCTGCTTACTGATTTCTTCACATTGTTTGCTCAACCTGCTTTCTTATAGAACTCATGACTACCAGTCCAGGGATAGTGCCACCCACAACTGACTGGGCCCTCCCCCACTGATCACTAGTTGAGAAAATGCCTTACAGCATGATCTCAGGGAGGTATTTTCTCAACTGAGGTTCTTTCCTCTCAGATGACTCTAGCTTGTGTCAAGTTGACACAAAACCAGTCAGTACATTCTGTAACTTTTAAAAAAAAAATTAAATTATTTTATTATGAGCCTGTGTCTGTGTGTCTGTGTGTGAGTATGAATGCACATGCCAACAGATGCCAGAGGTGCTGAGCCCTCCTGGATCTAGTTATACAGTTAAAAGCCCACACCTAACCCCATAGGGTTGTGTTCCATCCCTATTAATCTCCATCTCTTGCCAGCACTCCCCTTTCCTGCTGGTTCTATTTCCCTTCCCAACACCTCCTCCAATACCCTGATATTTTATGTGTACAAAAAGGGGAAGTCTGAGTTGGAATGATTTTAGCAAAGTTAGAAAGCTCTGAGGTTTCCATATTTCTCTGAGTGGTTTGAATCTCTAGAAATATACATTTGCAATGGATACATATACAGACCCATCATTATAATTCCCTTGGTAGGCATGGACGTGACAGCAAGACAATTTAGAAATAATGAGTGGGTAGAAAGAAAATTAAGGACTTTGCTTATATTAGAAAAAAAAAGCTAAGGCAGAACATGCTATATATTTGCCTCCTTGTTCACTTTGAATGCATATTCATTTCATCAGTGCAACTTAACCTTTCAGCGAGCCTTTCAGTGATAAGTCCATTAAGGTTTTGGAAATGCCAGTTGTTTGAAATAGCCTATAACAATGAGATGTACTAAAAAGTGAAGGTGGACTATGACACCTGTTCTATCTCCTCCAACTCTGTAAAATTGACTGAAGGTCACCTTTCCACTCCAGCTAGCCTGAGCCTCCAGGCACAAAGTTGCAGCCATTTACCACAATCATAGCAAAATGATTTAGCAGTAATGGAGAAATAGGGAGTAAATTAAGCCATTTGTTGAGATACAGAAATGTAGCCAGAAAATATTTGGCCTTCTGTTTGACTTCAAATCCATAGTCAATTCATTAGAGTAATTTTGCCCTTGCATAAGCCTTTCAGTGACAAATTCTACTCATGCGTTTGAAATGCCAGCTATAAGAATGACTCATTGAGTGTTGAGTAAAATTAAAAGATGGGCAAGAATAAATCCTTCATTTCATCTTATATAAGTAAATTAATGGTGGTGGTTGAGGAAGGACATCTGTCTGCTAGTTGTAAATTGATGCATTTAAGGAGAAACATTCAAGTGTTTTGGTTATATTAGTAAAAGAATTTATTGAGGCAACTACTTTTGAGAATTTTTTTTCCTTTTGTGGCTAAATAATATTCTTAATGAAAAAATAGTGAACATGTTTTTAAATACATATATCACATAGGAACAAAAACCACAACACAAGGAACAGTAAATTGCCTTTTGTTTTGGCAAGTGGTTTCTAAGAAATGCAATCATGCATGGGACATTGGTTACTTTTTCTCATATAGATGTTGTTTTCTATAGGCCTGTATTTTCTTTAAAGTCCAGAGTCTGAAAAGATTGGAATAGGTTTTAGGAATATAAAGTCTTGGTATTTTACTTCCTTAAGAAAGTCTACATTCAGCTCATTTCATCAATCAATTTCTTATCCTGTTGATTTCTTAAAATTCATATGAACCCAGTGTTTAATAGAAAAACCATAGAGGAAAACTTAAGTACATAGGATATGCAAGGTGCATTATATAAAATATATATATATTAACATAGTTTTTCATTTTAAAATGTGACACAATCTGTGTACAACAGAGAGGATATTGAAATTTAATGAATTTAAAAGCAATAAACTTTCTCAAGGCAACATCTAGTCAGCAGAAAAACTCAAAGGTAAAATTGGGTACATCTGTATTCCATAGTGACAGTTCAGAAAAGATGTGTTGGCAGGGTTGAGCTGGGCTATCTAATACTGACTACTGGAAATAGGCACTGGCAGCATGCTATGAATGCAATATTGGGACCTACACTGGTCCTCTAGTTCACACTCTTGTCATCTTTGCCTTGATAACAGTCAAATTTTGGTCTCACCTCTAAGTGCTTACTTGCTTCTTTGGGCTGAGTTTATGTTTACTTTATTTATTTTTATAATTGCTAGACAAGTTGTTAGTGTATAGCTCATGGTGAAGACTTGGCAGGCTTAGCTCTGTGATGTTGTTTTTTTGCTCTGAATTGTCATGTCTTCCTAGAGGACCTCAGTACTGACTTCTGCTCATCCTCAACTCAACTTCAGACTTGTGAGACATTTGTAGCTACCTGATCCATTATAGCTGCGATCAACACCTAGCTGTTTCTCAAAAGCCCAAGTTTTAAACGATGAATTTCTGGCCCATGTTTACCCATGTTACTACCCATTTAAGCTGCCAGTTGCCAGATCCTATGAATAAAAATCTAAGGCATCAAATCAAGTTTTAATTTCATATAAACAATTCTCTCTCATAGTCTCTCGCCTTCTCTAAAAGTCAAATTTAATGGTTCATCTTGTATTTTATGCTATTTCAGATCATCATGAGCCCGTAAAATAAAGCTCCTTAATAAAGAAATAATTTTCCCCAAAGTAAAGCTTGACCTCTTGCTTGGGAAGTAGTTTGTAGGAAAAAAGTTTTGTTTGCTTTATTTATTTATTTTTTAATATGATAAGTTAGGTCACACTGGACAATCTAATAATTTGATTTGTGCAAGGCTGTTGGCCAGTTACTAAACTACAAAAGTAAAATCATCAGTTCTGCCTCTGGAAAGAGGCTGAAGATAAGAGCTTCACTTAAGACCTGCCAACTCTGGATGGGACTGATCCCAGTGGAATGTGGACATCAAGATTGGTGTAGATTTCTTAGATGGTAGTAGTCTGTGAAAAAAGTCATGCAAACTTAATGAGAGGAATTAATGCTGCCTACTGCCAGTGATCCCATTGGGGCATGTGCATGTTCTTTCGTTGGCACTCTCCTGGTTCCTGCTGCATGCATTTCATCCTTCAGTTAATATTAAGTACATTCTTTCCTGGAATGAACAATAACTACAAGTACATTAGTTGTCATTGAGTTACATGGGTCCTTCCAGGGAATTTTCAAAACAAACTGTGGTCTTCAGAGACCCTGAATTTGCAAATGGAATCAAAAGTAATGGCAGAATTCTGGAGTCTCTGTTCTCTGACTTTTAAGGCCAGGAGTCCTACTTCTTGGGTTTAGAAATTAAAACATTGTCTAAGCATGAGGAATCTGGGTTTCCTTGCCAAAGTAGCCTGTGCTATAATTCCATAACTTGTGGTGAAAGTATTTAAGGTTGTTCCATGCCAGTGATGTGACACAGAGGATAAAGGGGTGGCTACATGGTAGCTGTTAGGGTCAGTGCATATAATCTATGTGAAGGTCTGTTTGTACCTGTACATGTATGTAAAGCCATTTTCTTTTACAGGTTGGATCTATGGAGCAGAAACAGGATCTATGCAGACTTCACTTGTTTCTTGTGCTCTGGGTCCAGTTTTTAAAAAAGAAATATTATTAAGGTTGGAGTATCATACCTTTTATTGTCCTGTCATACATTTTAAGACTGGCATATACTTTTCATTTTCATTCTTTTCTTTGACAGAGAAGTAACTAAATATTTCACTATATGTAGCAAGTAGGGTCATATATCTCATAATATATTCTTATCCAACAAAGAAAAGCCATAGTTTCATCTCCAGCCCCTTACATGGGGATTACAAACTAATATATAAGGACTGTTCTCAATTCTAAAAATACATAGATTTTTTTTAAATGTACTTCTGAGATAGCAGTAGTTTTTGTGAAGTGGGGGTGGTCTATTTCTTGCCAAAGTTAAAACATTTGTTAATAGTAAGATATATTTCATTTTGTAAGTTTTAAATATGGAAATATGGTGTGATAGTTAACATTGACTTCTCAGTTTGATAGGATTTAGAAACACCTAGGAGACAGGTCTCAGGGCAGGTCTATGAGGGCATTCCCAGGGCTATTTAAGTTTCGAAGTGTAACCCTTAACATGAGCAGCACAACTGCATAGACTGATATATTGGACTGAATGAAAAGAAGAAAGCAAGAGGAACTAACTATATGTGATGGAACCAGCTGCCCCATGTTCCCACCACCACAGCTAGAGCCACGTTTATCACAATACATCATCATGGTGGACTATGTTTTCAAATGATGAGTCAAAATAAAGCCATTTGACCTTAGATTGTGTCAAATATTTTGTCACACACAAAAAAAGTAAAAGTATTTGATACAGAAAATTGGTTCCAGGAGTGGGGTCATTTCTGTGATAAATCTGATCATGTAATTCAAAAGCCTTTGGAACTGGTTTGTGAGCTGATGGCCAGATAAGTTCCAAAATGTTGTTAAAAGAAGTTTAATCAGTTCTTGTGGGAATTTGGAATATTAGAATGCTGAAACAAAAGTGGACCTTGGAAATTAATAACGTTTCAGAAGGAAAGGATTCTATCTGAAACTGAACCACAGACCATTCATATGATGGTTTAGCAAATAATCTAACTATATTCTGCCATGTCCTGAGAACTGGAGTTGAGGCTAAAATAAAAAGTTGTGGGTAATTATTTTATGAAAGAAATTTCTTTTTTTTCCTTTGTTTTTTCGAGACAGGGTTTCTCTGTGTAGCTTTGTGCCTTTCCTGGGTCTCGCTCTGTAGACGAGGCTGGCCTTGAACTCACAAAGATCCATCTGCCTCTGCCTCCCGAGTGCTGGGATTAAAGGCGTGTGCCACTACCGCCCGGCCTTATGAAAGAAATTTCAAGACAGTATAGCATTCATGTTATGCCATGGTCATTACTCACTGATGCTATGATGAAAGAGCTACACATGAAATAAAAAAGTAATGAACAGTTTGATGAGAAAAGGAATGAAATTGAATTTAAACTTGCAGGAATATGATACTTTTTTTTTGGACAGGAAAATGATACCCTAAGCTGGGATAACAGAACAGGTGGTTTGTGGACAAAACCCCAATCATCAATGGCTTCAACTTGTGAAAATGCATATTTATCTCAAAGAGGAGATCCTAAAATAAGAATACTTCTGATGAGGTTCCCTGATAGAACATAACTGTATCAAGAGGCATTTTCTCAGACTTACCTGACAAGATGCACAGAAGCTACAACAGATGTTACACAAAGAAACTAGACTACATCTCAAGGTAGCAGCAGAATGCAGCAATGTTGTCTACATTATGCTCGTTTTTATATGAATCTAAGATATAAGAATAAGGGGTTTGGGGAAGTTTGCACTGAGGATCAGGATAGTCACTGAGAATAGACCACATATTTCAGGGTTGGATTTCTTGTAAGAAGATTATGCATACCATTGCATGAAGTGGGAAATATGAATTCTAAGTTGCAAAAGAGACTCAAAGACGTTTTAATGAGCAAACTACAGGAGGTCTACTGAGAAAAGTCATTGGTACAAAGTAGCGGCATCTAAAGGAAAGGGTTTCAGATCTGTAAGCAGTAAAATTGGAGGGGCAGGACTTTGAGGTTCATGTGATTAAATTATGAGTCCTAGGTGCCAGACATGGAGTTAAATGATTTGGTGTTTCCTCAAAGGCTTTAGGTAATGCTTTGGTCCATTTTTCCTTGTTGTGTCTCCATTCCTTCCTTTTGAAATAGGAGTGTTTCCTCTATGTTCATATATATTGAAAGTGAGTAACTTAGATTTTATATAAGTTATATATAATTATGTAATGCATATAGTTGTACCGGCCAGTTTTATGTAAGCTTGACACAAGCTAATGTCATCAGTGAGGAGAGAGTCTCAATTGAAAAAAAAAATGCTTCCTTAAAAACAGGCTCTAGGCCAGCCTGTAAGTCATTTTCTTATTTAGTAATTGATGGAGGGCCCACTCCACTGTGCATGTTGCCATCCCTGAGCTGATGGACCTGGGTTCTATAAGAAAGCAGGCTGAGCAAGCCATGGTAAGCAAACAAGTAAGCAGCACTCCTCTATGGCCTGTGTATCAGCTCCTACCTCTATGTGCCTGCCCTATGTTAGTTCCTTCCCTAACTGCTATTGATATTGAACTGTTATAGGGAATGGTGAGCAAAAAGCCCATTCCTTGCCAAGTTGTGTTTGGTCATGATGTTCTATCACAGCAATAGTAGCCCTAACTAAGACAGTAAGAGATCGAGATATAAGCGTCTCTATACTTACACTTTTGAAAAATTTTGGAACTGTTAAAATTTGGTTACATTTAGAGATTAATTTTACCCTCTACATGTGAAATCAAAGAAACTTTGCATATGTTATTATTTTGTTAAAAATGTGTTGGGCAATCCCTGTGTCTTTCTTAGGGCTGTGAGATTGGGTAATGAAGGGCAAGGGTTGGGGGAAAGAGACATTAGGGGAGCAGGAGATCCCAGCTGGATCAAGAACAGAGAGGGAGAATAAGGAAAGAAATGCCACGATAAATGAAGACCACATGGGAATAGGAAGAAGCAAAGTGCTAGAGAGGTCCCCAGAAATCCACAAAGATATCTCCACAATAGACTACTGGCAATGGTCAAGAGAAAACCTGAACTGACTTACTCTGGCGATCAGATGGCCGAACACCCTGACTGTCATGATAGAACTCTCATCCAATGACTGATGGAAGCAGATGCAGAGATCCATGGCCAGGCCCCAGGTAGAGCTCCAGGAGTCCATTTGGTGAGAGAGAGGAGGGAATGTATGAGCGAGAGATGTTGAGACCATGATTGGAAAAAGCACAGGGACAATTAGCCAAACTAGTGGAAACATATGAACTATGAACCAATAGCTGAGGAGCCCCCATAGAACTGGATCAGGCCCTCTGGATAAATGAGACAGTCTATTAGCTTAAACTGCTTGGGAGGCCCCCAGGCAGTGGGACCAGGATCTGTCCTTAGTGCATGAGCTGGTTATTTGGGGCCTGGGGCCTATGCTAGGACACTTTGCTCAGCTTAGGTGAAGAGAGGAGGGGACTGGACCTGCCTTGACTGAATCTACCAGGCTGAGCTGAATTCTCAGGGGAGTCCTTGCCCTGGAGAAGGTGGGAATGGGGGTGGATTGGGGGTGGGTGGGGGGGATGGGGTGGGAGAAGGGAGGACAGAGGAATCCATGGCTGATATGTAAAATTAAATTAATTATAAAAATTAAACAAATCTTCACACTGGAAAAAATATGTTAATAATTTTGTTGAAGCAATGAGAAAACTTACTAATACATGTCCCTAGAGATTTTAAAGTCTCTTTATTAAAGCTTCCTCTTTTGTGGATAGTATTCACAGTACCACAATGTGTTATGCAGACTGCATTGGAAGAATAGTGATCAATGGTCTTACCTAGCTCTTAATCCTGTGAGATTCAGTAATGACCATTGTAGCACGATATGCCCATGAGTACAATATTGGCATGAATGTTAGGTGGAGAATCAATCACTTTCTGATTGGATTTACAGGCCACTCCATGGGAGAAAAGGCATGCCTGCTACCATAAATCTAGTTGAGAACCCATGGTTGGGAAGCTAATTAGGTCCCAGGGCTGCTCTTGCTACTTTTATCTTGCTAAATGGACATATTATCAAAGTATCTTCTAAACATAAATCTCTATACCCATAGATTAGTGAAGCTCCCATACCTCTTCAGAGGATTTTCTTTGTTCTATGGATGGTGGTTAGTCCAGTCACTCACAACTTGTCAAAGTGTGGAGAGTGTTTGTGGCATCCTCAGCCACAAATGGAATATTTCTGCATGTCACCCTTCCCACCAAGACTGCATAAGGACAGGAATGTTTTAAGAGCAAGAGTTCAGAGATGATTGGGTGAGAGTAATGTCTTTTGTACATGTCAGGATTACTGTTCTCATGAACTCACAGCTTCTGTGGTTTCTTGCCCAAGACTGTACTAGGTCAAGCCATTCAACATGTCAGCACTCAGGGAGTCACAAGCTCTCACTCCTGAACAGGAGCTATTAATTGGCTTAATACACTCAGGGAATCAAGAATGCTTTTGATGCATATCTTAGTTTGCTTTCTATTGTTGTGACAAAACACTATGACCAAAAGCAACTTGGAAAGAAAGGAGTTTGTTTGGGTTACATGTCCTGACCACAGTGCATTTCTGAGGAAACTCAGAGCAGGTATTCAAGTCATGAACTGAAATTAAAAAAAAAAAATAGCAGAGAAAAGCAATTTTGCAATTTTCTGGCTTTCTCTACTTGGCTCATTCAGCTTTCCTTTCATAAATTCCAGGACCACTTGCTCATTGCTGGCCAGATCTTCTGGGAACTAGCCCCTCTCACACTAATCATTAATCCAGAAAATGTTCTACAGACTTACAGGCCAACATGAGAGAGATATTTTCTCACTGTGGTTCATTCAACCCAGAAGACCTTGGCTCATGTCAAGATGACAAAAATCGAATCTGCATATTGGTCAATGGAAATGTGCATCCTAGTTCACCACCACTTTTCCTGCTTCAGTTCCATGGT